TCACAAAAGCAGCATAGGGAAACTTTAAACCAGAGGTGTCTAAACTCAGTCCTGGATGTCCACTCTTCTGCAGAATTTAGCTACAACTTACCTGGAAGTTTCTGGTATGCGTAGTAATACCTTAGTTAACTGATTCAGATGTATTTAATTAAGGATGGAGCTAAACTCTGTAGGACAGTGACCCTCAGAGCAGGATTCGACACCCTTGCTGTTAATAAAGAATAACAATTTAGTCCCTCTGTAATTCTCTTTGCCACCTTAAAGAATTCTCAGTTACTTAAAGTGTAAATAAACGGCCGGGAAGTAAGAAAACACACAGTCAAATGTATCCTCAATACTTCAATTTATTCATAGAAATACAGATATTATTACTTCATACACACAAGAAGGGCGTGCAAGCTGGCTAACGAAGACTACGATGGTGCACTGCAGGACACCTGTGCCCTGTTGTATACATACTGGCATTCACACATTAGCATGCACAGGCAGGTTGTGTACTGTTCTTAATATTAAAACCCTGTTTTTAAGCACTGCAAGAAAAAAATACATTTTAAATGTTTCAAACAAATGTTGTAGTATATATTTTTTATCTGGATCAAAAATAAAGTTTGCATTATCATAACTAGAAAATGTATGTAAATAATTTTGAACAAGTTGAAACAGCAAATATTGTAAAGTCAAATGAACTTCAATAAAACAATTCAGCACTAGCAATATTTAAATTAGTGAGTTGAAATGACTTATACTTTTAAGTTGATTTAACTTAAAATTTTAAGGCAGCCACAAAACTTAAGTTTTTAAGTTGAAAGGGGTGAAAATTTTTTACAGTGTATGGCTTTTGGAGCAAGGGCACCGCCATCTTGCAGTACCACCGCGTCTGACGTCACGGGGTTGGTTCGCTCCTGTCACGAATCCGGTCCATGAACTTCCAATTTCATTGACTCTCGCACTACACACTGTTGCACATCACCCCGGACTACATTTCCCATCATGCATTGCACTGATTGCACTCAGCTGTTTCATATCACTCCCTCACTATTTAACACTCACTCTGATCCCTTCCCTCTGCCGAGTATTGTACCTTAGCCTAGTTCTACCTTGCCTTGTCTGTTTCCTTCGGTGTCGATCTTAGCCTTAGCCCTAGCCTTAGCCTTAGCCTTAGCCTTAGCCTTAGCTTAGTTTTGGCTTGCCTTGTCTGTCTCCTTCGGTTTTGATCTTCGCCTGTTTTCCTGGACTTCTCCCTTTAGCCTTGCCCCTGTGACTCTGTTTGCCTATCGTCGACCCACGCTAGCCCTAGGATTATTCTTGTGTCTTGCCCGCCATATACCTGTTTGCCTGTGTTCTGACCCTGCCTGTCTTATGACCATGTCTCTGTCTTCTCCAATTAAAGCTTTGCATTTGGATCCGCACGTCTCGTCAGCCCCGTTACAGCTCCGATGGCCAGTGAAGTAATATAAGCATTTCTTTACATTTTGAACACACAAATGTTATTTTAACACACAAATAATTTGGTTTTCACCATAATTTGGATGAATATTCAACATCAAACTGTCTATATGCTAAGTTTTGATCGTGGTATCCCAAACATTGTTTTCATAATGCGAGGCGCAACGTTATGGAATCATTTTTTTGTCTTTATTATTCAATCAAACTGTAGCAAAGTCTTAAGTTCGGGAAGAAGGACGAGGAAGTCAGGGGTAGTGAGTAGACCCTTTTATTGGTCGTCACAAACAACACATAACAACGTGTGCGCTTCTGGAGTTTCCCACTCAGGTGTCGCACACTCTCCTCTCTCCCTACTCCCAGGTCGGCGGCCGCTTATCTCTCGTCAATCACTGGACAATCACTGGAATTGCAAACAGGTGTTAATCATTATTCACTTGACCTCCTTATCACCGCTCGTCTCCAAACCCTTTCTCCCGCTGCAGCCTTTCGCCTTCCCACGCCCCCCACGCCACATACCCCCACCGCCCAACTCAGGCCGGGGAGCCATCCGGCCTGCAGCCCCCCCCCATTCCTAGAGAGAAAGTCGGCCACAGCCATCTGGGCCCCCGGCCTGTGGACCACCTTGAACTTAAAAGGCTGTAAAGCCAGATACCAACGGGTGATCCGCGCGTTGGTATCCTTCATACGGTGGAGCCACTGGAGGGGTGTGTGGTTCGAACAGAGGGTGAACTCCCATCCCAGGAGGTAATAACGGAGCATGAGGACGGCCCACCGGATCGCCAAACACTCCTTTTCAACGGTGCTGTATCTGGCCTCTCTCTTTGAGAGCTTCCGACTCAGATACAGCACCAGCCGCTCCTCTCCTCCGACCACCTGGGACAGGACTGCACCCAGCCCCCTGTCCGACGCGTCCGTCTGCAACAAAAAAGGGAGATCAAAGTTCGGAGAGTGTAAGAGTGGCCCGCCGCACAGGGCAGCCTTTACCTTGGTTAGGGCCTGTTGTCACAGCTCCGTCCACTGGACCGGATCTGGCGCTTCCCTTTTAGTGAGATCAATCAGCGGGCTGGTGAGCTCCGAATAATTAGGAATAAACCTGCGATAATATCCCGCCAGCCCCAGGAACTGTCTCACCTCCTTTTTGGTCTTGGGTCTTGGGCAGGCCGCAATCGCCGCCGTCTTGTCAATTTGGGGACGCACCTGCCCATGACCCAAATGGAAGCCCAGATACCGTAACTCCACCCGCCCAATTGCACACTTCCGTGGGTTCGCCGTGAGTCCAGCCACCCTCAGGGCCCTCAGGACCGCGCGCAGATGTTCCATATGATGTCGGCATACGCTCTATGTGGCCGGAGGATCTTGTCCATGAGATGCTGGAAGGTGGAGGGAGCCCCGAACAAGCCGAACGGAAGGGTAACAAATTGGTGTAACCCGAACGGCGTGGTGAAGGCTGTTTTTTCCTTGGATAATGGCGACAAGGGGATCTGCCAATACCCTTTCGTTAAATCCAGTGTCGAATAAAAGCGAGCCGAACCTAACCGATCAAGCAGCTCGTCAACTCGGGGCATTGGATAAGCGTCGAATTTCGACACAGCATTCACCTTTCTGTAATCCACACAGAACCAGATGGAGCTGTCCGTTTTAGGCACTAAAACTATCGGGCTGGCCCAGTCGCTATGCGATTCTTCTATTACTCCCAGCCCTAGCATGGCCGTTAATTCCTCCTGCACCACTTTTTTCTTGTGCTCCGGTAACCGATAGGGGCGGCTGCGCACCACCTGCCCAGGGATCGTTTCGATGTGGTGCTGTATGAGGTTCGTGCGACCGGGCAGGGGTGAAAACACGTCAGCAAAATCCGCTTGCAACTTGGCTAGCTCGGTGAGCTGCAGCGGCGAGAGGTGATCTCCCCCCGGGACCAGAGCGAGCGGATTGGTTTTGACAGCCGCTTCCGGCCCGAGATCTTCCTCCGCCGAAATGGCCGATGCTAACCCCACCGAGGTCACCTCATTCCAACGTTTTAGCAGGTTGAGATGATAAACCTGACATGAATTACCCCTGTCCGTGCGCCTAACCTCATAATCGAGATCCCCTACTCGCCGCGTAACCACAAACGGTCCTTGCCACTTGGTGAGTACTTTGGAACTAGACGTTGGAAGTAATACAAGCACTTTCTCTCCGCGTAAATTGCCGCGCTCGCGTACCCCTGTTGTACAGCCGACATTGTCTGTCCTGCGCCTGGAGCAAATTCTCCATGGACAGTCGCCCCAGAGTGTGGAGTTTTGCTCGGAGGTCCAGGACATACTGAATTTCGCTACGGCTGTTTGAAGGCCCCTCCTCCCAAGCCTCTCTATTGACGTCAAGCACCCCGCGGGGCTGGCGACCATAGAGGAGCTCGAAGGGGGAAAACCCCATGGAGGCTTGTGAAACCTCCCTTCACTGCGAACAACAGGGGCTCGAGCCATTTATCCCAATTTTTGGCATCTTCCTTAACAAACTTACGAACCATGGATTTCAACGTGCGATTAAATCGTTCCACCAAGCCGTCCGTTTGTGGGTGATAGACACTGGTGCGAATCGATTTAATGTCCAAGAGTTCGTATAGTTTGCGTAACGTACGTGACATTAACGCATTG